TGTTGAGACAGCCCCATGGCCGTCATGGAGGCCATGAAGTCCTGAGCCGCCCCGGTCAGACCAGTCTCAGCATGGAGACTGAAGTCCCCCAGGACCAACAACCTGGGGGTCCTCAACACCAGGTCCGAGACGATCTCCGTCAGCTCAGGCAGGGAGACTGTTGGGCAGAAGGGTGCACGGTACACCAACAGAATCCCCAATCTGTCTCGGTTGCCCAACACCAAGTAGAGGCACTCCAGCCCTGGCCTCGAAGGGACCAGAAGTCCCGTGAGGGAGATGGAGGCTCGGTAAACCAAAGCAACCCCTCCTCCCCTCCCCTCCAGGCGTGAACGGTGCTGAACCAGATACCCGGGCGGGCACATTTGAGAGAGGGCGACATCCCCCCCCCTCCCGCCCAGGTCTCCGTTATGCAAGCCAGGTCGGCCCCCTCATCCACAATCAAGTCATGGATGAGGGAGGATTTATTGTTGACCGACCTGGCATTGAGCAGCAGCACTGTCAGGCCCGAGGGGCGGTACTACCTGGAACCCTCTGGCTCGGGGCAAAACCAGAAGGAGGGACAGGTGTCAGCCCTCCTTCTTCTATGCGGACACGTTAAGCCCCCACCTCATTACCTTGAACTAATTCAAATCTCCAGAGCCCGATCAATTGCATCCCAGAGTAATAAAGGAATTGGCATAAGAACTCTCAGAACCACTGTCTGCTGTCTTTGAGAAATCATGGAGGCTGGGTGACATGTTGGATGAATGGAGGAGGGCTAATTTATTTATTTATTCCATTTATATGCTGCCTAAAGTTCTCAATGTTGACTTCCCTCCAAAAACACAAAAGGAAGAACCTGGGAAGTACAAACCAGTCAATCAGACATGGGACTTTGGGAAAATTCTGGAGTAGGTTATATATCAACCAATCTGCAAGAACTTTGGAAACCATGCCATGATTGCTAGAAGCCAACACACATCTAAATGCAGTGATTACTAAGGAGGACAGCTTTGTAAATACCCTAGTCCAAAAGAAGGACTAAAGAAGTAGATATTTGATCAAATCAAGACAGAACTTTCCATAAGAGTGAAAATGAAGGCTGTCGTACTTCAGGCACATCATGAGAAGTCAAGACTCACTGCAGAAGACAACAAAGCTAGGAAAAGATGAAGACAGAAGACAATGAAGGAGACCAACTATGAGATGAAGCAATCCTGTAAAGAAAGCCCCAGCTGAATTTGCAAGAGCTGAGCAGGGCTGTTAAGGACAGAGGGCATTTTGGAGGGCACTGATTCTTAGGGTCCCCAAAAACATGGAGACTGAGCAGCAGAAGACTGACAATCCATACCTCAACCTCAAAATGACAAATTAAAGGAAATTAAAGTTCTGTACAAGTCTTGCTTGGTTGTGCTAATATGCAAACGTTGATGATGTTCAGGCTTTCTTTATAAATGGACAATATCAAGGACAACATAGGCCCATGTTACAATGAGAAACTAATCTTTACCTCTTTTTATGTTACACAGAAAAATCAAAACAAATTTTATGTGTTTACATATAAATTCTTATATAGGCATGTTTAATTTTTCATTTACTTTTAATGAAGCGCCAGAAAAGAACTTAAGAATGATTCTTCCGCTTCTAGTCATCAGTAATTCTTGACCTGTCTTGAAATTTATCTTCAGTTACTTTGCAAGTGCACTGATTTATTCACTATCAAGTACTCTCTTTATACAGATGTGAAACAAGTTGTTTCCTTGTTCAATTCCAGAAATAGATTGCCTCTCCCCCACCTCATACACATACCCCATCACTCTCTCACTTCTCCCCTACACAAAGAGAACACCCTACCCTGAATTCTAGAGGTCAGCTTATACAGAAAGAATCTAACAAAACTTAATTAAATCCAAAAAAGTGAACAAAAAGGACCACAGAAATTGCTGAAGGCTTGCTATGAGTTACAAATATTTCAAGAAGGAACTTGGGCTTCAAAGAAAATCTTCACAGAGCTTAGGGTTAATTAATATCCCAGATTTATCTTGAGCAAGAACATTCTTGCTATTAAGTATGATAGGCTAACAATGACACAGTATTTTAATAACATACTTATTCCAAGTTTGTGCCAAAAGCAGAAACTGGCAAATTTATGGAGTTCCAGTACTACTGTTCTAATTTTGAATACCCAGCCCTTTACCAGCTTCTAATCCCACAAGGAGAGGAAAAAAACCAGTTTTGTATAAATATCTCTCCTGGCTGATCTGACTTTTTCTTCTGTGGCAGCAAGGAGAAAAGAAAGAGACAAAATTTGTTCTCAACGTTTTTACATGTTTTTCAGTCAATTATATTTTTAAAAGATAAACAACTGCACAGTAAATCTATACCTACAACTAAATTGTCCAGGTTCAGATGTCACAGTAAACTAATGGAAATTAATTCTTCCAGGAAGCCATGTTAAGGCATGACCTAGTAGGGCTGGAACTCTAAATTTTTCATTTGAAGCCCTGAAGCTTTAGCAGGCCATCTTCCTTCCTATTGTCCATTATACTTTCTGAAATAATGGTTCAGGGGCTCTGATAATTACTTAAACACGCCCCCACCCATTAACCAGCCATTTTCTCACACATGCCTCATTCCTGCTACCCACCTTGAATGTTTTTGCCTGAGGCTTTTCTTCCTGAAATCAAATGCCCTCCTCTCCCTGTTCATACATTCCTTAGGAGACAACATATGTACATTTGCACCTTTTTTGTTTGATGGGCCTCAGCCCTGGAATTTTCAGTACCCTTCAAGCTTCTTAACTACTCCTACCGGATTGTCAGAGAAGGAGTGCAAGCTCATTTTGTAACAATTATCAGTACCAACAAGAGTGTTTAACAAAGTATTTAACAAAGTATAACAAAGTTCACCTTATAGATTTTGCCATCCATGATGCAATGCATGCTATATTTCACTCAAGTTCAAATTATATTCATAGCATAAACCAGATAAAATAGTATTTGATAGTTAAGTCTAGCATGTATTTGACATCACAGGTTTTTTTTCCAAAATTCCCATCTAGCCACTATTAGAAATTCTTAATGCCAACTAAGAATTACTGAAGATCTGTTTCATGGGGACATCCTAAGTTCTACTAAGAAGAAAGAGAAAAATGTATGTCTATCCCCCTTCTCCTATGTTGTTTATAATCCAAATCCTGAAAGGATGTTTGACAGCCTTGCACTAGGCCACCTAGTGAGCTTCATGGTTGAATGAGAACTTCAGGTTTCCCCAGGCTAAGCCCAACCTACTGCCAACTAACAATTACTGCAATCTTATTTTAGATGTGGATAAAAAATTTCAGCATGTTGTTACAATCTGAGAACCAAAAACATGTAGAACTGACAATACCACGGCAGTTTTAGCAATATGGTGGACTACCATTTAGTGGAATGGTACGACTATACCAAGTGATCAAACAGTACTCAACCATCTTAGACTTACTGAGCATGTCATTCTTTGTTAAAACAGTGTAAGAAATTCTAGGTACATTCCCAGAGCAATTTAAAACTAAAGCACAAGGAGAGATATAAATGCTTACCTATGAATGTCTGTTGTGCCTGAGAATTTCCCCCTACCCTTGGGGAACACGAATGAGGGTAGTTTGAAGCATTAGCACCCATCTTCTTTAGTTACTTAGGCATTCCTCTTGTTGGCTTATCAGTGCACAGTCCCATAATCCATGATAAAAGTTAAGACAGAGTTCAAGCAGTTTCTTCGCCTCCATTTCTGACCAAAAATAAAATAAACATTACTATCTTCCAAAGGTTACAATTGTAATAAAACTGTACTTAATTTAGTAAGAGAATCACATGATGTCAGGCCTAACACAAATACTAATAACTAATCACATGTGTTTCTGTTTTAAAAGACATAGCTAAATCTGTAATAGCAAAGAAATATGCACTTAAAAGGAGGGTTGCCAGAGCTGGGTTTTCTTTTTAGGAATGTGTTTAGTCTCAGCCAAATTTAGCCCATGGATTAAGGAAAAATGCTAGCTCTCATGGTTGTGGAGGGACAGTGAAAAGCACAAGACACATAAGTAGACAGCATGTAAGGTTCTCATTCTGTGAATGCAAAACTCCTGATTTGTAAAATAGTGAATACTGTTTTAAAACATTTGGGGGGGGGGTTATACATGCACGAGCACATGCAGGCATACACACACACACTCTTTTAATTTTCTCCAAAGGCCATTAGACGTTAAACTAGAAATTATATTTGCACTTGCATAACATTTGAGATAGCTAGGAAGATTCTTCATTGGTCAGACTCACAGATGTGGTATCTGAACAGTTTTAGGAAGATTTTTTCCAGCCCTGTGTAAGGTTATGCTATATAAACTTAACTTTTCCCCCTTAGCCCTAACACTTAACAGATTCTCCTAACCTCAAAAACTAGCTGCTGATGTCTGAAGGCAAGGGTGTCCAACCTGTGGCCCATAGGCCACATGCGACCCAGGATGGCTATGAATGTGGCCCAACACATAATCATAAACTTACTTAAAACAGTATGAGATTTTTTTTTTGCAGGTTTTTTTGGTAACTCAATTGTGTGGTTCTCAAGTGTAAACTTTGTAAATGACAATGTTTTGCCACAATCTCACATAAAACAAACATGTATGCTCTTTTCGGATTATTATGTGCGAACTTTTTTGCTTATCTGTGGTGGTGGATATCACAAAAATTATGCGCAGATCTTTTTTTTGCTCATCAGTTTTTGTTGTGTTTTGTATATTTAATGTGTGGCCCAAGACAATTCTTCTTCTTCCAATGTGGTCCAGAGAAACCAAAAAGTTGGACACCCCTGCTTTAAGGTATGCTGCTGCTTGTGGCACTCGTATCAGTGAACTACTTTAGTAGAACCTGAATTGTTTTCAGACAGAAAAGATGAAGATATGGGAGAGGGAGAGGGAGTTCATACTTAACCATGTGCAAGATTTATGATATTAGTGGCCCTAGTGGCATAATATCTCAAACTTTTGCTGCTACTTTTGCCCACCCATTCAGTCTTCACTCTTGTTAGTTTTTTTGTGTTAGACTCCAAGGACTACAAGGAAAGGTGTGACTTCACTGTTTCATGTACAAGATCCTACATGCTCCTATAATACAACAGCATGTTTTGTATATGTGCATATCGCTGTTACATGGATTCTCAACCACATGAATCCATTGGAGAATACGTAGGTACAAGTCAGCCTTTTTTATATGTTCATGAGTTACATAAAAGCACTGTATCTGTAAGGTGAAATATAGATTCTAAGAACTGGAATTTCCTCCAATGCTGTATAACTCTTTGTGTATCAACTCTGCTTAGTGTTTTTGACAAACTGTGTACAGGGATGGTATACTTTATGGCAAAAGTGCTTTTAACAATTGCAAGTTTGTTAGAAAAAACCTATTGGTGAATACTGGTTTGATTTACTTCTGTAGTTCCAACCTGAAAAGTTGCTTTGGATGCAGCAGCACAAGTAGGAATATGGAAATCTACCTGATATCAGGTCAGATGATTTGTCCATCCATCAGTGCAGTATTCTCTATTCTGACTGGTAGCAGCTCCACAAGGTCTCAGATAGAAGAGGATCATGTCCATTGCTTACTACCTGATCCCCTTAAGCATAAATGTCAGTGATTAAACCCAGGAAATTTTATACATGCACTCTATAAATATGCACTCTAGCATCAAGTTATTTTAAGTACCACCTGAAACTAATGTATTTTTTTCAATCTGACACAGAAGGTACCTTACCTGATACATAGCTCATGTCATAATATAATTCCTAGCAACTGCCAGAGTTGAGAAAACTGACAGATGCATTGCTTCTTGCCCCCACCCCCATTTTCTTTTTGGCTTTCAACTGATAACCCAGGAATGTCTTGTCAGTTTTTCATGTGCAAACCTGGAAATTCTGCTGTTTGTAAGTTAAATAACTCAGAAGTAACCCAACAACATACCACAGTTTCCAGGTCTGCACATCACAAAACAAACCAGAAATGGGCATTCCTGAGTTGTTAATTAAAGCAGAAGTGTCAAGTGTAAGTGTCCAGCTCATGCACTCCACTCATCCATGTAATTCCTGGGTTAAAACAACTGAGGAATTGCTGCCCTGATGTGCAATCAAAGGCTGTCATTCTGAAAATTCCTTCTGCCATCTTTAAAAGATTTGTATGTGTGAGAGAGGGGCTTGATTAAATAAAGAAAGGGAGTTCTCAGACTACCTCAAGTTAAAAATGTTTAGATTCTTAAGCTAATGTTCATTCTCAGGAGGTAGTAAACATATTCAATTAGTACTATCACCACTAGGATCAAAACACTGTAAGCATGAGCAAAGATGAAGAACTGCTTGACTCAACATTCATTTTACAAAAATTACTCAGGCATGATAGATAAGTTGTTCTGTTCTTGTACAGGCATAGCAATAGTGATACATTGGTATGTGATACAAGTGACTGCTTGACTGGGTAGGAGGAAGGTCCATCAAGTTCAGCAGCTAGAGACTGTTAATAAAGTGGTGCTAACTGCTTAAATGTATGTGTAGTGCTAATGCTTAAATGGCCAAACACAGAGCCATTTATTAATATGAAGAGCCAGCCAGAGTCATTTATTAATATGAAGTGAGCAATTCAAGAGAAAATGGAATTGCTGATCAGGGGTATAGGCCACCCCATCATTCTTACCAGGGCAAGGCCTTCCTGTTTCACATACAGTCCAAGAGCAAGCAAAGATTTTCTAGATAGTTCCAACGAAGTTTAGAGGGCTCAGTGCAACAATACAGATTTCCACACCCGTGCCAGCTTCAAGCTAGGCCTGACTGGCTATTGTAGCTGTGGACCAACACCCACTGTCCAAGCAAGTCCCAACCTCCCTTTTTCTGACTGGATCAGTACTAGCACAAGTTTCTTTTCCAATCTGGGGACTGACCATAACATACTACATACTATTCTAGGAGAAAACACAACTGAATACAGTATGAACTATGTTGGTAAACACCATGTTGAGGGTAAACACCATGTTGCACTGATAGTGTCTAGCAACCAGAAATTTTGGATTGGTTACTCAAATTTGTGTAACCCAACTTTTGACACTCAGATCCGTACAGATAACCCTGAAAGAGGAATTGTGGTTCTCGATCTGAAGGTAGCTTCGAGACAGATATAGTTTTGGGGAGTAGTTATTGTCACACATCAGTATTGCAAATGTAAATGTGCCTGTTCACTTATAGCAACAAGGAATTTAGACTATTCATTTAGTCCTATGTAAAAGCACTGTTGTTGCCATTGAATACACGTGCCCAACAGCACCATTGTTCAAGTATTTGAAATTTATCCTCCTCTGGCTTTCTGAAGAGGAACATAAACTCTCATGACACTGACACTGTTCAATCAGCGAGCCAGTGTGGTGTAACGGTTACTGGGACTCAGGTAATCCAAGTTCTAGTTGGCCATGGAGCCAACTGGGTGACTTTGGGCAGTCACAGACTCTCAGCCCAACCTACCTCACAGGGTAGGCTGCTGTGGGGATAGGATTGGGAACAGGAAGAAGAGAATGATATAAGCCACTTTGGGTTCTTTAAAAAAGAAAAAAGAGGGATAAAAAGCTAATAAATAAATATATAAATTCCTAAGATGATTATATAATCAAGACTGTAAATCCCCTGTGTTGTAAAAGCAAGTACTGATTTCTTTCAAACAAATGCAATACTCAATGCAGAACTAATGTATGCCCTTATACAATACAGTATGCAAATTATTCTGCCAAAATTCTTTGGTACTTTTAAAAATTAACTTTTAATGCAAATGGTAAGAGACCTTAGTTGGGAAAAATGAACTTAAATAAAAAACACAAACTTTAACAAATCAGCACCTATGTATGCAACACAACAAGTAACTCAATTTTCTTGAAGAGTTCTTACCACTTCTCACAACTTTAAAACATTTCAGAAAACTGGCAATAATCTGAGGCATCTAGGCTTACAGCCAGCAGTCTTTAATCTAACAAAAGCTCTATGTGCAAACCGGGCATTGGGTAACAGCCATGCTTTTGTATACAAGTTTCCTCTCATCACCAACATTTTCATACCATTTTCCACTGGGATTTCAAAGAGATTAAATGACAAGGTGAAAAACAAAAAACACATACTGAGCAGTCAACTATTTTATACTTCACTTTCTTCCAAAGATGGACATTCTCAAAATCTGTATCTTGAATAGGCAAATCTTCATACGCATTTTAATGTATAAACTGTTGTTGCTTAGACAAACAGGATTTGAATGTTATAACAATATGTACCAAAAGGGAACAGAGAAGCAAATGACCCAGAAGCGCTTTAGTTCATAATTTGTTTCCATTATTGTCTGGATTCTGGCTAAAGCAGGGAGTTAGGCCCACTGCACTGCTGCCTGCAGTATGGAAAGCATGGTGAACTGCAAATTGCAGTGCATACTAAAATTGGGGTGGATAAAAACAGTATCGGGATCTGCTGGTAGCCTTCTGGGTGATCTACAGTAGATTAGTACAGATTTCCAATTCTCAACTGTTAAAGATATTGACAGACAAAAATGACTGTAAAAATTAAAAGGTAGATTTATATTTTCGCATACAGAATACCCCAATAAATTGCTCATCGGATAACTGGCTTTGTCTTCTGAGCTACAATTTTGCATCTGGCTTGTGAACCTCTGAGTTTTAGCCAAAAACAAATAGATCCTAACATTTCTACCCCTTGGACTTGGATACACATTCCAAAAATGTTGGGTACAACAAAGGTGGATGTGAATCAAGCAAATCAAAATTAATGAAGCAAACAAATAAGAAAAGTCAATGGCTATGTTATTCCCCTTCTTTTCCTACAACACTTTTCTCACATTAAATAGAACTGAATTTTGCTTATAGTGCAGGGGTGGGGAGCCTATGCCCAAGGACCCCTCTGGGTGCTGAGAGCCTACTCTTTGTTCAGGTTCCAGGGTGACATGGCAATGGGAAAATAAGTCCCAGGCAGTGCAGCCTCAAAAGAGCAGAGAGAGGGACAAAAGGGTGGCTGGGCTCACCCTAACTCTGGCACCAGCTACCAACAGATATAGCCTCAGCTGACCTTTCTTAGGGGTCAATGGGCATTCATCAGAAAAGGCAAAGACAAGTTCTTTATCCCTGCTACAGTTGTCAATTGAATGAATGCCACTATTCCAGGTCATTGTTTAAATTGGATAGCAATTTGTGTCTCCTTACTTCAAATTTTCTACAGCTCATCTAGTGGAGGGGAGGATCTGTCATTCAGCAACTTGTACTAACTTGTAACCGATTTTCCAAGAGCAGACATTTTCAGATTTGTCAAGAAATGCAACAGAGCTGCAAGCTGAACATAGGACAAATCTAAATATATTACAAAAATGGAAGAAGGTAGCAATATAAACTTTTATTTAGAAGGTTTCCTCAAAGGTTCCAAGCACCTCCTAGAAAGCTTTCAGGTGAGGAAATGTCTCACATCTGCCATAGCCCATGTTCTACATATAAAAATCTGTGACTTTGAGGTTTGAGTTGGCTGTGTAGAATATGAATCAAAACCATGGTGTCAAGGTATGCTTTTTTGTTGAAGTCTAGCTGCCGCTACAACATGGCTATTTAGAGATGCATAATTTTGACAGGTACAAACTAGGTGAAATATTTTTGTAGTTTGACCCAGCTAAGGCTGGTTGTTGCTATTTTGAGGAGGGAGAAGCTTGGGAAATAAATCTGGTACAGTCATACTCCTCTGCATCCTAGGCCATCTCCGCAGTCTCAGGAGTTGCTATGCTTCCACTCAAGCTCAGCTAACTTTTACTTAGATTCATATTTTTGTAGGCAAAGAGGTAGCCAAGCTATAACTTATTGGTGTGAATGAAGAACAAATGTGTCAGCTACAACTGACATAAGAAATATCCAGTTCTGTCATCCACTTTTTAATTTTTGATAGTTAGAGAATTTAACAACTCTGAGAATTATCAGCAGAACTTAATAAAGAGATGCAATAAGTATTTGTTGTCTTATTCTGTAAGATCATGCTAACGAACAGCCTCAGCTAGTTCTTCCTGGCCAGATCAGCCAAAAGGCATCTTTACCTTTTATAACTTTGTTCTAATTACATGCATGACTGCACTGTTCTACCAACATTTCATGTCAGATAAATTATCTGTCTCAAGGATTAAACATCATTAAATTTGTACTCTAGAACATCAAAGCCATGCAAAGGGATTTTAGTATCCCTGAACCAATACTTATTTCTATAGCATCTTTATCAACCAGTAACTGAAATACTAATTATAAATACAAACACACACACCCTCACACACCACAGTTTCCATGCACAATATCTAGGGGCAGCTAACATAAATTACGTTGTACCAACATAAACTACTCTTGTGACCTGAAGCAATACACCGCTCTCTCATGCACAATCCCTCTTCTCAAATTCAGAGGTCAGGGATGGGCCTCCACCCTGTCATGTGGGGAGAAGCATGAGTTAAATGAAGACCAATAAATTTTTCATGTCTTTAATCTTTTATTTACTATATATGTACAGTACACTAGTTATTTAAGTCATTCTTCTGACTGGCATCTGGGGAATTCATGGTCCTTTGTTACTCAACTAATATCTGTTGACACAGAGAGAGACAACATTCATCACAGCTTTCTGATAGAAGACTTATTTTTAGCCTGGCTGCATTCTTGCATTTATCTCCATTAACTGGTCTTTCACTTCTTTCATCCATCCAAATTATCCTTCACATCATTCCACTAACACTGAAGATACTGGAGTCCTAGTAAAAGCTCATTTATATATATTTCTTTAACATTTATTAGACAATGAACAGCTCATATGTTACATTTTCTGCTCATGAATTCTCCTGACCACCCTTGGTATCAACATGTGCACATACAAGCAGTGTGAACAAGGGCACTAGAGGCACAAGCCAAGCGGTTTCTGCAATTCCACAGACTTCCACTCACTAAAATTACTGAAGTTATTGACAGCTTGCAACCATAATTATTACCTTGTGCAAAATACATTTGCTCATTTTATTGATTTATTCATTAGATTTATATCCCTCTTTTTTAAAAGAACTCAAAGCAGCTTTCCTCCTGCCGCACTCAATCTTAGCCCCACAGTAACCACCCTGTAAGGAAGACTGTGCTGAGAGTCTGTAACTGGTCCATAGCCACCCAATTGGCTCCTTGGCTGAGTGGAGACTAGAGTCAAGATTGCCTGAGTTTGAGACCCATGCTCTTAACCACTACACCACACTGGCTCTCGCATGAGTGAGTACTCATGAACAGCCAGAACAGATCATGTGGGAAATAAACAATGCCTCAATCAGGATCAAGGGACATGGCATAGAGGTCTGTTGTTGATAGAGGAGTGTGCAGGGAAAGTTCAGAAAACAGTTTGTGTGTGTGTGTGTGGGGGGGGGGAATCTTGGAAAAAATAAAGAAATGCAAGACTTATTTTACCATGGTAAAAGTGTCTTTAAATTTTGAAAACGAAGTACACTCAACACTTCTGAGTCAAGTCTTATCCACTGCTCAAGGAATATCAGTTTGCTAGGCTATCAGAGAGCCCTTTTCGCACAACAGCAACATTTCCTGGCTCCTTCATGGATCACTGCCTTATAATGGCGAAGGGGCTTGCGTAGTTCAATGAAGCTATGAGCTACGCCATGCAGGGCCACCCAAGACGGACAGGTCATAGCTGAGAGCTCTGACAAAACGTGATCCACTGGAGAAGGAAATGGCAACCCACTCCAGTATCTTTGCCATGAAACCCCATGGACAGTACCAAAAGGCAAAAAGATATGAAGCCAGAAGATGAGCCCCTCAGGTCAAAAGGTGTCCATTATGCTACTGGGGAAGAGCAGAGGGCTAGTACTAGTAGCGCTAGAAAGAATGAAGCGACTGGGTGAAAGCCGAAAGGACACTCAGTTGCGGATGTATCTGGTGGTGAAAGGAGAGTCCAATGCTACAAAGATCTATACTCCACAGGAACCTGGAATGTAAGATCCATGAATCAAGGCAAGCTGGATGTTGTCAAACAAGAGATGACAAGACTGAACATTGACATCTTAGGAATCAGTGAACTAAAATGGACAGGAATGGGTGAATTTAATTCAGATGACCATCAGGTATACTACTGTGGGCAAGAATCCCTCAGAAGAAATGGAGTAGCCTTCATAGTCAATAAAAGAGTAGGAAAAGCAGTACTGGAACACAATCTCCAAAATGACAGAATGATCTCAGTTCGAATCCAAGGCAAACCATTCAACATCACAGTAGTCCAAGTCTATGCCTCAACCACTGGTGCTGAAGAGACTGAAGTTGACCAGTTCTATGAAGGCCTACAACACCTTCTAAAGTTAACACCAAAAAATGATGTTCTTATCATCATGGGGGATTGGAATGCTAAAGTAGGAAGCCAAAAGATAACC